GCGATTTTCAGGTTAGGGTTCCCTATGAACACCGGCGGTCTTTGCTTTCTGAATCAGATAACAAATATATCCACTCGTTTGGTTGTGTTCTTTTAAGCTTCCTACTCCTCAGAATCTGGTTTCGATTGTCTTGTAACTCTCAGTAGTTAGGTCATTTGCAATTATGCTTGATTGCGAGCTGGACGTCTGCGTCGGCGTCTCTACTTGATCGTTTGCTTCACATTGTTTGCCATCTGACAAGTTTTGTGGGTTATATAAGCTTAAGGTTGTTGGTGAGGTGAAGAGGTGTTCAGTAATAAACTAATTTAATGTGGTTGAGGTGCTAATTTTTCTAAATGGACAATCAATTATGCAAGTAAATAACATAACATACCTAAGATAGCCAACTAGATATTTAATTATATATATATATACAACTTTCTTACAAGGTTACCTATTTAGGTTAGCGTGTAGCGTGTAATAGCCAAAACAAAACACACTCACCAACAAAACATGTTTACAAGAGTACACAAAAAGGTTTGTCCAAACTATTAACACCCTAAGTCAACGATTCCTCTGGGTTTCTTCGAGATATTTCTTCGAGATCATTGTCGGGTCTCAGGGTGGTAATGAGCATATGCCGGGGAGGCTGGAAACTGCTGACTGGTATGGGGAGTACTCTGATGAACTTCTATAGGGATGTAGGGAGCTTCGGGAAGTACTGAACAAAAGAACTGCTAACTCAGGATGATGAGAGCCACGACTCTTGGTCAACGCACGCTACCAGATGCGGATCTCAGCCAGTCGTTCTTGCTAACTCGGCAAAAGTCTAACATCTCCGCTCTATTTGTAGAGGAACCTAAGCTCCCCGTTTGCACTGGGGCGTCGCGTACCCAACGCATCGCTTGCTTGCGTGGTGTGTATGAAAAGTTCATTGTTTTTTGAATAGCTTTCTTTTACCACGGCGCTCGTTCCTAATTGACATCGTTGGTTAGTCTTTGTGGACTGACAGTGTACTCTGTCTATTGGAAACGAAAACTCCAGTCTAACGTTTTTTGACGTGAATCCATCACGGTAGGTAAACAAATTTTTTTTTTAGTCCACTTTTATGATATAGTAACATTATAATAGAAATAGTATGTAAAGCAAGGATATCTAATCACAAGTCGACACGCGTGGTTAAGGGTTGACCTAGGGCTCCTGATACCAATTTGTCCACGTCCCAAAATTCATGACCAAAAAAGAATATATAAAGTAACATCAAACAGAGAGATACCATAATATTTTATATCACATATAAGCAGAGTTAGACATAGGATAATGATTGTTGTTTTTAGGGCTTGGATAATTTGTTGAAAAATCTGGTCCAGAGGTTCTAAAAACAGTCCACTTTTAGAAATTTTATAAAATTTTAGAAAATCATCTCATGTTTGGTCTTCTGTCAAAATTCAGAACTTTGAGTCTTTTCCCACAGATTTTATTTGAGTGAAACCATCAAGGTAGATTGAGAGACAGCTAGTTTTCGAAGGGTGACAATCTGGCTGGTTTTCGATATAGTCTTGTAGATGATTTTTTGGAGGTGCTGTGCAACTTTCTGAAATTGGAAACTGAACTAGCAGATTGAATATTGTTTTTGCAATTTCACACTACTTTGGACCTAGAAGTAATTTTTACAAAGCGTTCTTGTTTAGCCTGCAGAACCGACAATGCTGGAATTGTGTTCTATTATAATTATTGGTCTCTAAGTGTTTCAAGATTCCTAATGTTGTTTTCTGCATTACTATTAACTTATGTATGTCGATCATGGACTATATTTTCTCTCGTTGTTTTTTTCATACTTTTTTTTTATGATCGAGTTCTGATGTGACTAACTTACTTAACAAAGATTAATACGGAATGATAAGTGGTTGGCAATGGTGACGTTTTATCTTTTGTGTTTTTAGATTTTATACATATGATGAATGAATTATGAGGATTATACCAAATGAGTTAAGTCTTGTGCAAGCGTTTAAAGCGAGCCTAGGTTGCACAGACGTATTCAGACTCTATGCGTGGTTTCAGGGTGTAAAGCGAGCCTTTGGTATGGTATGTGCAGGGTGTAAGCGGCCCCCTAGGCCACGCTTGGTGTGTAAATGAGCCACTTATTTGGCGTACCTTTCGAGTCCTCGATGTCGTGAACCGGTAAATAACGGAGTTGGGCATGGGTGGTAGGGTCTGCAAAGCAGAAAAAGAGAGAGTTCTGAGTAGTCCGGTGTTCAATCTTGTGGTTGGGTAGGAAGGTTCTTTGGGGGGGTTCTAGATGCCTAGTCTAACTATAATTCATAAACTTATTGTAGTTGGGTTATGTATCCCGATTGTTCTGTGTATGGTTGATTGGTTGTAGAAGATATATGTGTGTGTGTTTTTATTGGATATTCCAGCTCATAGCGTGTCATGCAGGTGAAGAAGCAGGCTTACGACAGGAAAGGTTGATCCCGAAAACAATCAAGTATGAGGTGTTGGAGCCTGTTGGCTTCCTTGAAAATGTTGGGCATTAAGTAGTTTTTTGTTTGTTTTTTGGGGCTTTTCTTTGTCTTTTATCTGTTGTGGTTTGACAATGTTATTGTAAACCTCTGAGTAGTATTTGTCATAAATCGTGTTATCTATGATATATACTCTGCTTCAGTGTGGTCTATTAAATATTATGGTACTACTTCTGCTCTTGTTATAATGTGTTACCTTTTGATAATCTATTTCTTTTTTTTCGTCATGATTTGTGGGCGTGAAACTAACTGCTTCTATCATGCACTTGATGTGCATACCTCATCCCCTTTAGTCTTAATTAATACTCTCAATTTAGAATTGTATTTAGATATTATTTTCACGATATTAGTGCGACTTTAGACTCTAGCTATTAGGGATTTAGACACTTAATAAGTCCATGGGGTCCGAGTTCCTTCTCTGTAAGGAAGGCAAGAACACGAATGCTCCTTCTTGGGCCAATTTATTGTTACTTATGGTTCTTTCAAATAGCACTTTACGATTTTATGTTGTATGTATCGGTTCACTTAAATAATATATAACAAAATTGATAATATTTCACAATATTTCATTATAACCAATTTGGGTTCACATCAAAAATTATATAAAATAATATATATATCATTACATCATGAAGTCATCATTTTTATTGATTGTACTGAATATATCTTTATAAAAAGTATGCCGAATCGATTATTCGCAATTTTATTCTACATGATGTAATCAATATTAAACTTATAGTTTATTAGTAGTTTAAGGCAAATTATCCAATAAGTATTCAAAAAAACCTAATGAAGGGAGATATGAAAAATTGTTGTTGGTGGTAAATGTATGAATATCTGCTAGACAATATTTGACTCTAACAAATTATCGATTGTTTTTTGGTGAACTAATTTTTGTTCAAGTTGAAGGTTGATATATATTTTAAAATTCAAGTTAGCTACTTAGAAGAAAAAAAGCATAGAATAAATAAATAATGTTTACACATTGAAGATGTTTAAAATCTTTTTCAATTATGTTATATTAAAATCATACTGAAATTGCTCAGAAAACAAATTTGAGAAAAAAAATATATAATTGAGTCCACTCACTGGTACATATTCTGAATAGTAATTTATCATCTAAACATTTAGGTGATCAAGTAAAAAACTAGTAATTTATTATTGTATATATTATATGTAATATATATAAGTAGGAATATATGATAACTACCTCCATGGGTTGGTTTGTGTTTGAGAATAATATTTTTAGTTTTAAAAAATTAGAAAAAATCATTATAAATTGTCGCTCATTAATTTTTATTTTTTTACATATCTTTTTGTAAAAAGTTAAAAGGTTATTAAAATAGCTTATTGCAACAAGGACACTTGTTTCAGTAGCATTGCTCGGTCGGCTTGCTGCTCTCTTTTGTTATAGAATTGATTTTTTTTTTTTTCAATTTCCACCAACATTTTAGTATAATTTAAAATTGAG